TAGAGAGAGGGGTGCACGTATACACTCTCCCCGCCACCCCCCACTGAGAGAACATATGGCTCTACCTCTTTGGTTTCCAGGTCTAGCAGAAATTCTAACAGCTACTCCTAACCCACATTGTTACCCAGACCATACTAAGATAACCTAAAGCCTGGGCGAGGCTGGGGGTCCCTACCAGAGAAGGAGTGATAGAGGAGAAATGCCACCCAACTGATGATAGGAGACAGCATCTAGAGGTGGGTAGTAGGAGAGGACCTTTATTAGTCTGGCAGGCTCAGAACCCTCTGCAGCTCAGGAGTATGCTCAGCCCGGTTTCATTCTGACCGGTTTCCAAGCCATCCTCTACGCACCCGTCTACAAGTGGGAAGTCTTGCATCAGGGCTCTCACGTGATCTCGCAGGTCTGGGATACTGGGGTTGCCGGCAGTGGCTGGGGTGCTGAAAGTGCCGTCGGGCTTGGTGAGGGTTTGGGGGGTGCTGGGTGCATTGGAAGCACTAAAGATGCCAGGTTTGGTCTGGGTGGGTGTTAGAGACTGTGAAGGCCCGCACAGCAGCACCACCAACAGGAACACCGAAAGCATCTGGTGACTCTCGAGGCCAGCGAGCCGCATCTTGCTCAGGGCGGGGCCAGCGAGCACCGCTTGAAGATCGCACCGATGAAGGTCTCAAAAGCCTGAGAGGGACAGAAGGTGACCATATAATCGCGATCCTCAACTTAAGCCACGAAGAGACCGGGTCTAGTGAGAAGGGGGTTTGAGGTCAACGGACTGGAGACAGCTCGGTGTATAGCGAAGCGGCGCAGGGACGCCAGGAAGGGCGCCTCTGCGGGCTGGGCTGAGGCCGGCGCCCCTCAGCTCCTGTCTGGGCGTCCTTTGTCCCAAGCCCTCTCTCCTGTTTCCTCTTCCCAGGGAGCCAGTCCCCGTGCTTCCTGCCTGCTTCTAGGGATTCTTCTCCAAGAAAGTGGACCTGTGGTGCTTCTTTCCACACAGTGAAAGTGAGCCCTTGGCAGACCGCATCTTGACCCTGACTACCTGCAGCTTTCTCTGACCTCTTCCAGGGCCACAAGTGCCCTGTGACACTGCCCTCTCCTCCCTCTCTGCCATTCCTTGAAGACTCCAGGCAGCAATTGGAAACCGCTCAGAGCACACACCTCCATACCCCACCCCCATTCTGCCATCATTCAAGGTGATGACTGCTCCCTTCTCCGTTGATGCTGTACCTGCCCAGGACTTTCACGATGAGTATCTGAGTGAGCAACTAGGTGGTCTGGGGAACACTTACTTAGCAGTACAGGAGCAAAGTCAATCGGCTAATGAAATGGAAGGAAAGGCAACACTTTGCTCGGCAGCAGAAACCCCACCCCAACACCTTCTTCCCCGGGGTCTGCAGACTGACCTCCTACCGCAGCGTGGACGCCAGGACCGAAGTATGAGTCCTCAGGCCCGGCACTTGGGTCTAGTGGCTTCAGACACCTTATCTGTGGCTCTGCGGCCTGAGCGCCGCGAGAAACTTCAAGGGCTTAGTTCCCTTCCTTTGCAGGCCCCACCCTGTTGCCAGCCTTCATGCTGCCCTCTCTGCTTCCTCCAGGAACACCCCCAGCTGCACGAGCACACCCGTGAGTGCGTGCGTGGGTGCGCATGCAGGCGCGCGCGCGCGCGCACACACACACACACACACACACACACACACACACACACACACACACAGACACACACACACACACACACCCTGGGCATGTGTTTTTTGTAGAGTCCCATCATTTAAAGCGCCTTTAAGAACTGTGCTCACACTCCACCAGAAAACTTTTTCTGTGCCTGTCAACCACTTAAGATTCTGTTCTGATGCCTGGCCCCTACTGGAGCGCCTCCATTTTTTGGAACCTTCCTCAGGTGGCATGAGGGCTTGGAAATGTAAGAAGCCCTCTTAAAAAAGGCTGGACATGATAGCAAATGCCTTTAATCCCGGGCAAGCAGGTATCTGTGAGTTCAAGGCTAGCCTGGTCTATATAATGAGTAGGCCAGACAGAGTTACGAAGTGAGCCTTGTCTCAGATGAGTAAATAATATTAAAATTTAAGAGGGGAGTGGGCAAACTCTGTGAAAAAGGAGACAGCGTGTTGGACTGCTCAGCATGGGCGCACCTACACTAGTGCCTGCTGTCTGTCATAGTGCTGTGCTCTAGGCAGTAACTCCTTGGCTGCTACAGCTAGTAGGAGGTCTCACTAGCAGGCCCGCTACAGAATGTGTATTCCTCTAGGGCTGAGCTTCAGACCGGGGCACTTCTTTGCCAGTTCCAACTCAGACCTGGCTCCTTCTCTTTCCCCTCCCCCATGGCCACTTTCTCTTGCAGCCAAGTGGTAAAAGGGAAGAGAAACTCTTAGATTTGCTGGTCTCCATTTCACAGTTGTGGGTTTGAGGGTAGACTTCATGTGTGTTCCATTTCTAATAAGCCCCAGGAAGTTGAGGGGTACAAGGGATGCAAATAAAGGTTTG